TCACTAATGGTCAGTAGGTTTTAAGTGACTAAATCCGTAGTTTGACCAAGTCAGTTTGGTTGCCCAAATAGCCTGGAACGGAAACAAACCGATCCATGAACACTCCTTATTTCAACAAAATTAATAGTCTAATCTCTAATGAATAACAAAAGTTTAATATCTAATAGTTATTGAAAATTTATAGCAAAAATACACAATTACTGAAAATAAATTTAAAACAAAAATACAACAAATAAATAATAAAAATACAATAATTATGAAAATGTAATAAATACTAAAAATATATTAAATTAGTCAAAAAAAGTGTAATCTCTAATAATAGTTTAATCTCTAATAAATATTAATTAATAAATTATAATGAAAATGCATAATTACTAAAAATGAATTTATAACAAAAAATACAATAAATCCAATAAGTACAATATATTAAATTTAAAAAGTCAAAGAACAGTATTTTAATATCCAATAATTATTAAAATTTTCTATTAAGTAACAAAACAACAATAGATTTAAACATAATTATTGGAAATATATTTATAAATACAGTAAATATTAATTTTAGTATATAGAAATATAGATAAAGATTTTAAATTATTATTAATAAATATTAATCATTTTGGAAGTTATTTTCTGGAATTATTAATTGGTATAAGTGAAATAATGTTTTTATTATTAGTACATTCTTAATTGAAATTATTATTCTATTTTTTAGTATATATTAAAAATTATTTTTTTTGAAAGTTATTGCATATTTTTGTTATTTGGAAGCTTCAATACCTATAAATTATTTAATCTAATTTTTATTATTTCAATAATATTTTATTTATTTTTTAATTATTTATATTTTATATTCTTATCATCAAGGATTATTAAGCCTATTATAATTATTTTTGTGATTTTGATAAAGTTTTTTAAAGTCATTACATAATTTCGCTATTTAATCTAGTTTTTTTATTTTTTAGATATTTAGAATATGATTTAGTTACTAATTTTTGATATTTATATTATTTAAAAATCAGTTATTTTACATATTATTTAGTAATTTAAATAATATCATTATTTAAAATATAAAATATTAATTGTTTATTGAATTAATAATCCATAAACTTATAATTTATACTATTGTTACATAATTTCGTTCTTAACTTTGTAAATATAAAAATATTCTTAATTCGMATATTATGAAACCTATTATAATTATTTTTCTAACTTTAATTGTTGAATTTATTAAATATTTTTTATTTACAGTATTTAAATTTTGTTATGTTAAATATTTTTTTATTTGAGTAATTTAAATATTTAAATAATATGTAAAGTATTTAAAATTTTTTGTTATTCAAATTTTATTTATTTTAAAGTTTTTATGTAATATTAGATATTTTTATGTACTTATTTAGCTATTTTTATTATTTTATTATTTAAATTRTTAAGTTATTGAAATATTTAAATTATATTTTTTATTTTAAATTTGCATTTTTTGAATAACACTTAAATAATTTTGTTATTTAAAATTTTAAAATATTATTTTTTTATTATATTGAACAATCCATAAAATTATAATTATATTGTTATTACATAATTTCATTATGAATTTCATAGAACTATAAAATTATTATTAATATGAATATTGTTAAATCTATTATAATTATTTTTTGTGCTTTTAATAAATATTTTAAAGTTTTTACATAATTTCTTGATAATATTTAACTTTTTAATTCAAACTTTTGTCAAATATTATTAAATCTATTGTAATTATTTTTGTGTTTTTGATAAAATTTTTAAAGTTATTACATAATTCCATTATTTAATGTAGTTTTTTATTTTTAAAATATATTTAGAATATGATTTAGTTATTAATTATTATGATATTTATAATATTTACAATCAGTTATTTGAAATATTATTTAGTAATTTAAATAATATCATTATTTAAAATTTAAAATATTAATTTGTTATTGAATTAATATAATCCATAAACTTATAATTTATTCCAGTGTTACATAATTTCGTTATTAATTTTTTAAAATACAAAATTTTTCTTAATTTGAATATTATGAATTCTATTATAATTATTTTTGTAGTTTTATTTTTATTTTTAAATTTATTACGTACTGTTTTATTTTAACTATTTAAGATTTGTTATTTCAATTTTATTTAATTTAGTGTTATTGTTTAATATTAAATATTTTGTTATGTAATTATTTAGTTATTTTTTAATATTTCACTATTTAAATTATTATTTATTAAAATATTTAAATAATATTTTTTTTAATTTTAATTAATTTAATAACATTTAAATAATTTTGTTATTTAAAATTTTAAAATATTATTTATTTATGAAAGTATAATTTATATTTTTATTACATAATTTTGTTATGAATTTCCTAAAAATATTCAATTATTATTAATATGAATATTCTTAAATCTATTTTAATTATATTTTGTGTTTTGATAAATATTTTAAAGTTATTACATAATTTTTTTATGTTATTTAAAAAGTTTTTAAATTTTTAGTTCAAACTTTCTTTAGATAGATATAGATGAAAAATGGGGAAGAGAATAAATAGGAATTAGAGATAATTTAGTAGTAAGTGTGGGATAGTGGTGCCACTTGTCTAAACATTAAGAAAACAAATCTCTCTTCCTTGCCTCAAAAGCTCTCGGCCCATTGAGAGGCTGGGTTAAGTGAAAGGAATATATATATATATATACATATACATGTATATATATGCCGAGCGATGTCACATTTTCAATGTATTACCAATGTTAACCCATATGTAGAATGCGTTCCTCTATAAATCAGTATGTAGGGGGTGCCAATGGACTAGCTTTGGGTTGGATCCTATTGAAAGAAAAATCAATTGGATGGACCAATAAGTCATATTGAATTGGACCAGTCTAGACTTAATGCTCCATAAGTATTTATTGGATTTTTTTTGGACCTAGTCCTCCTATAATGAATTTATATTGGATTGGGTTGCATTAAATCAATATTTAGTCCATTGATAGAAGACAAGAATAAGAGTGTCAATGGACTAGGTTTGGATTGGAACCAATCTAAATTAAAACCATTTTGAACAGATTGGACGATCTAGACATTGAATTTGACTAATCCAAAATGGTCCAAAGTATTCATTATATTGGATTGAACCTGGTCCATTTGTAATGGACTCATATTTGACTAGATTGGGTTGGACCATATGTGGTCCAATTGACACCGTACCAAGAGGACTTCAAGCCCCATCCACGATCTTTTTAATTGGTTTTATGGTCACTTGAGCATGAGATTTTCTAAAACAAGAGGCAAATACAACTAGCTGCTACAAATAATGGAAAAAGTTGCAGGTGATTGAAACGCCGACGTGATTTTCATCTTCATTCTAATCCCTCTTCGAATAGAAAGATGTTCAAAAAGATATGTAACGAATGTAGAGACTTCAATTTTACGCTCCATCAAACCACACATCTAGATGCAGGGGCAGAGCCAGGGGAGCCATGGCCCTCCCTATGGTTCAGAAACTCCCCACTGAAAAACAGCTTTCCATGTAAATTTTCTTCTCTCCCCACTCTCCATCTCAATGATTGGCCCCCCCTATGGACCCATTCTTACTTCATTTATGTTTTGGCCCCCTTTATAACAATTTACTGGCTGCGCCCYTGTCTGGATGGATAACTTTGATGGAAGAAGGAGCTGAATTACTTTACACAAAACAATCAACTTAAATCATTTCCTAGAGCTTTGATGACCCTGTATTGCATAGCCTTTGCTAGAGCTCCGACTGACCATATAGGAATAGGAGATTATCTCCTCTTTTTAAGTATTTTGTGAATATATTTCCTCGTGGCATTTGCTCTTGATCTTATACTTTTGATCCTACCATGTTTAAGGAAATCTGATTTGTTTCTTACAAAGTACGTTGCGAACTAACCTCACAATAAATCAAGGGTGTGCATTGGGAATAACTTCTTAGGAATGACAACATTGAGAATAAGAGCTTTTTAGGAAAAATTTATGATGTGGAAAAGATATGGTATGGAAAGAGTTTTGACCAATCAAAATTCACCCATGAATTTTGATAAATAACATCTAATTGGCTATCAGTCTATCACGTTTATGAGTCTAGTTGACTGGCCAAATGTTTTTCTAATATCATATCTTTTCCATATCATAGTCAAACCCATCTTTTTAATGGCCTGACCCAACCAAAATAGAAAAGAATTTCAATGAATTAATTCATAAAAACTCTATATATAACATTCAATCACACATTGAGAMTATCTCCCACATATATAATAATCTATGATGTCAAAAAGATATGGTACCGGAAGAGTTTTGATCGGTCAAAACTCAAAACCCACCGGTGAATCTTGATAAATTCCATCTGATTGATTAACATGTTTATGTTTATGATACCGGTTGATTGATTGTAAAATTGATAGGCTCCTTACGTACGAATGGATGGCATGCTTTTATTCCGGTGCTGATCCTCTGGATATAAAAAAAAAAAACAGTGCGAGATACACGGTCACATGCTGCAAATCCCTAGTGATTGAGCAGCAGCAACGCAAGTTGGCAACTATTAACCACCGTGGCCCAAAGCCTTGATTTAATGAATCTAAATTTGGTGAATTAGGTATGCGTTAGGTGATCGGCCGAGTTGTGAGGATAAAATTGGGATTGCAGATTTCCTGTACCGTTACAAGGCAGAGGTTCACACTCGTTCATTCTCAACTCTTTCTCAGTCGTCGGCCGTCGGCCGTTTCTGTGTTTTAAAAATGGGTGCCACTATGTTGATAATTTTAGGTATTTAATTAAAGTTTACTAATTGGGGGAGATTTAAGTAATTTCGGGTCGGCAGATTTAGAAATAGATAAAACGGTGGGCCCCAGATGGGTTGCCACGCGAAAAATAGCAATACAGACAGGAATTCAAAGTCCAAAACCTTTGCCTAAGCAAAACAGTCTGCCGAGTGCCTGGCGTCGTTAACGTTCACGTGACACCAAAACGTCACCAAACCCTCCCCCACTCAGACCGTCTCCGTCTGACCTCCATCCATCCACATACGTAGTCGTAGATTGCCGTTGAATCTCTACCGTATGCTGGCTGCTTCTCAATCCTGCGACCAGATTGTGTGTATATCGACACCGACGATTAAAGGACAGTAGGACACAAGTACGTAATTAAAGCCGCAATCCGACGGGTCGGAGAGCGAACGAAGGAAAGGATAGGGGTGGGAGGGTGAGAGAGGCTTTCCGATTTTTCCCCCTTTTGTGAACGATCTCTCTTCTTATTTTATCTGCGAATCTGCTAAGGATTCGCTCGATTTTCAGGGATTTTGGGGTTTCTGCTCTCGGTAATTTCCTTAATTGTTAATGCGGAGGAAACGATTACTGGATTTTCGTGTTTGTGAGGGGAATTTAGCAGAGATTTTTTGATTGTTTTCGCCCACAATTTAGGGTTTTGATCGAAGATATGGGCTCAGAAGATGCCGATCTTTTGGATGACGGGGGCGGTGGAGGGCTCTCGTTGGGTGCGTCGTCGGTTTCATGCTCGATTTGCCTCGAGGCCGTAACGGACAACGGGGATAGATCGAGGGCGAAGCTGCAATGCGGGCATGAATTTCATCTCGGTATGTAAGAAAAGATCGGATTATTTTGAGGAGAATTATMGTTTTCGTTGCAACTCATGAACTGTTGAGATACATATACGGGTTTCGCGTGCATGTTGAAGCGAACATACGTTTTAGTTTTTATCGTGATGCCGATTGAGACTAGCGAGTTAAATTTTTCCTCAATCCACATATTGGTTGTCTGGATTTTGCTCCTAAAATATTCTCCAACGCTATTACCTCTTGCTCTTTGGTCCCTAAACTGTTTCAACATTCTCAGTAAGACTTGGTTCTATTAAGAAGTACAAAAATTTTGAAGCTATTTTAACGGTGAATTGCTTATGCAACATATATGGGAGACTGGGAGTTGGGAACTATTTGAAATTGAAGGGTTTAACAATTGCAAACTGTTACCATCAAACCATTCTAGTCTGAAGTTCCAGCTTTACATCTCTACTTAGTATCGCATCATGGATATTAGGGCATCAAAATGAATATATGCCACAATAAGTTGTCCAGGCAATATCAGGTAGAGCCAGTCAGTTAACTAAATTGACATATGATAACGGCTTGATTTGTGGCTATCAGATTGGAAGGTCTAATTGTTGGTGCAATCACTATCTGTCAAACAATTAGAAAAAGAAGGTGAAGCAAAAACCTGTGAACCTTCTATGTGTTTCATCGTCAATGCATTTTGGCAATAATATGTGTTAAGATTACTGCATCTGATACTTTATCCTTGTCCAGATTCTCAAATTCTATCCTGGGCCAAAAAATATTTGAAATTAAGATTGACTTGACTTCATTGAGAATTCTCTATAAATTAGTGGCATCTTGTGTGGAGGCGGAATAATCTTGGTTGAATCCTCATTCTTAGAAAATTTAACTTGGTGCTGGGGTATTTTCCAAGTAAATGGAAGGGTTGGTGCAGTTATGGGACGACGATGGATGTTTTATCAGCCTTGTCTTAGTAAGAAAGGAACGCTTGCTTGGACAATATCCTCATTGGTGCCATCTGGGCAATTTGGGGCGAGAGAAGCTCTTTTACATCCTGGAGTTGCTCCAACCCGAGGAGGTTGTAGATTGTGGTCCTTGTCGGTTCCTGTATAAAAAATTTTCAATCAAATGTCTTTGCCTAGCTATAGGCCACGATATTGGATATCTCATCAAGAAATCAGTCCATGATTTTGTTCATCCTTGGGAAGTTGACTCACATTGAACATAACCTTCCATTTTTTTGGTGGATTGTCTTGCAATCATGGCCTCATTGCTATTCACTGAATTTTATATTGCATTCTTAATCTTCTATTGGGAAAATGAATATGTTGTATGACACTTCTTGCCTTCTTGGATGCCCTTTATCATGTTTCTTACTTTTATGTGTTATGATTTGCTTCAGATTGCATTGGTTCTGCATTCAATGCAAAGGGAATGATGCAGTGCCCTAATTGCAGAAAAATTGAGAAAGGTCAATGGCTTTATGCAAATGGGTGCCGTTCATTTGCTGAGTTTAGCATGGATGACTGGACCCATGATGAGGATCTATATGATTTAAGTTATTCTGAAATGGTAAAATAACAACCTGTTATTGATTGGTCCACTTTTCTTCTGGTTATCTGTTTATGATGGTTGAAAAATTTATGCAGTCACATCTGCATTTTTGTTGTCTGCTGTGATTTATCCCAAATGCAATAATCAATAAATTGCATATACTAATATTCCTTGAGTGTGATGCTAGTTACATGATGCAGGACAGGATTCACAATATCAAACTGTAGATTTGATGTGTAGAGATAATGGAAAATCATCAATTGTAAATAGATTTGTAGAATAAGAACTTGAATTTAACCCAACTCAACTCATCTTAACCTTAATACCAACTACTTAGGGTCATTTACGTAAATCTTGTCTTGCCATTGTGCTTAGTAATAAGAAAAATAAAAATAAGATACAATGTCATCAGAGAATCATTTCTTGGAATGAATTTTGAGTAAAAGAATCGTTCTCTTTTGAAGCTATGTTGTTTAGCTTCAGAGAATCATTTCTTGGAATGGGATTTGAGCCCAAAAAAGGATTTAGTACCAGCAAATTTTTTTGATGAATATTTAGTACCTGCAATTTCAATACATCCAAACTCAAAACTGATTATCAGAATCACAAAATTCATCAGAATTAATGTTTTGAAAGCTTGCCATATGTAACCTGCATCAATCAACTTATAAAAATGGTCAAAGATTCTGAGACCTGGAAAGCTCAACCATTTCATAGTTTTGACCATCTGGTATGATTTGCGTCTGACAATATTGATATGATAGAATGGTTTATGAGTTAGAACCTAGGCTTCTCTAGTGGTCAACACCTAGAGGGCCTATTAGGAGTCATCACCTAGTAGCTTCAAGAATGTCTACTGTCTACACCAAACAAGGCAGCAAACACTGCTCATAAATTTGTATTTCATTCACTTCATTCCAAAATTTAGAATATTATTTGTATTCGTAGACCAATGACTGAGCTTTGTTTAACTCCAAATCTAAAATAGTATCTTATATTTTTGAACTTTTAAAACTGACTTGGAACTTCCAAAGACTTCTTGTCCTTAGAAGCAACTAAATACATTCCTAACTAAACTCAAAAGTCAAAATAGAAAATAACAAAGAAGACAACTGCTTATCAAAACTTGTTTCTTTTTTTGATCGGTAATAACAAACACAAGGTTAGCTCAGGCAAATTTTATTCTTCTCAGTTCCCAAAAGAGGAGACTGCAAATCTTGAAAGCAAGGGGTCGAATGGGTCAACAGATCAATAAATGGTTTCGCTGGCACATTAGTCAGACAACGGTTATCTAGGAAGCAACTTGTTTGGTTATTTTTATGCACAATGTGATATGGGAACTAGCTCCTGCAGTGATTTATCTAGGTGTGCCTGAGCACCTAGGAGCACTGATGAAGTGCATTTCAAGGCCTATGCCTCGCCCAGTGTGTGCCTCAGCATGTGCCTCAGCTCAAAGTCATCATCTATGTTCTTGTCAGGAATCTTTGAAGCTTCTATCCAGTTTCCTTAATCTTCACTTGCACCAAAACCTCATGTTCTTGAAACTAGGGCCAAATTCATTGTCTTCTTTCACTAGCAATTCTCTTGCGCCTCAGCTTAAAGACATTGTCTATGTTCTTGTCAGGAATTTTTAAAGCTTTTTATTCAGTTTATTTAATCTTTGCTTGCACCAAAATCTCATGTTCTTCAAACTAGGGCCTAATTCATTGCCTTCTTTCACTAGAAATTCTAACTTAGGTCTCTGATGTTCAAGGACAATGGTAAACTGAATCTAAATAGATGTGTAGAATAAGAAAAGAAATAAGTTAGGGTCCGTTTGTTTCACAGTCGGAATCGGAATGATCTATTCCCATAGTCTGTTTGGTTCAGATAGAAATGGGAATGGAAATTGGAATCAGCAGGAGTGGAATTTCATTCCCAAGGGATGGGGAGGGAATGGCCATTCCCTCAAATGGGGGAATGCCATTCTACCAGGAATGGGAATGGGATTCCGATTCCACCTTTTACTGATAAAAAAAATGGGATTCCGATTCCGCCCAACCAAACAGTTGGAATCGGAATAGCCCATTCCGGTTTCGGTTCCAGACCCCTATTCCCATGAACCAAACGGGGCCTAAGAGTAACCTAGGAGTCAGTACTCCATGCTCTCTAGGAATAAGCACCATAGTTTTGGGTGACAGTGGGGCACCTAGGCAATTAGAATTTTATAAAATAAAGAGCTAAATTTTGTCTAGCTCCCTAGTTTTTATATATCATGCATATTAATTGAAATAATAGCAATTATCATTGTTAAGAACATTAGTTTCCTAAAACACGGCAAATTATCATATAAAATAGATAAAAACATTTTTAAATAAATTAATTTCAATATTTTCAAAAATAATACTAATGTAATAATTATTTAATAGGCAATTTCACATCAATTAGCAACTAATGGAGGCTATAATTTTATATGATACAAATTTAAGATAGAAAATAAAAGAGAAAGAGAACAAGGATAATGCTACTGTTTTATTTTGTGAGAGAGAGAGTAGGAGAAACAAAAAAAGGAAATGTCTTTGTACTTCTATTCTTTCTTTCTCTTTCTCTTCTCAAACCCTTTGGTCTTTTAAGTTTCAATATTAAAATTATAAAACAAACTATAAATGATATATATAGCATATGCTCGAATTATTAATACACATGTTAGTAAGACATAGCAATATGAATGATAGTATAAGGTGCTCGCCTTGTCATTTTGCTTGCCTAAGCATGCAGCTACCTTGTTGGTGATAAGTCAAGGCATTTAGGCAGGGATCTCAACCACGGGTGTCTATTTGCCTATTTGCCCAAGCAATTCCTTGACAATCATGATTTAAGCACCTAGAGGGCCTATAAAGAGTTGGTACCCAGTAATGGTTGGAGGCTTCAATGATTATTCTATGGCTGATTTCATCAGAGGATGGGGAGCAATAGTAGCTTCTTCTACACTGGAGTTGGCAGTGCAAGTTATGTGGCTTTCCTAGCCACAATAGAATTAAATTAAACTTTGATGGAAACTCCCCTAAATTGAGAAGACAGCTGCATGACTAGGAATTAGCTTACCTGTTAGAGACTTGTTTTGGAGGCTATAGAACCAGATTTTGAGACCAGATTGTGATGATGAGTTGTGCTGTAAATGGGATAAGAGTGGTGTTATGGGCCCGGGAATAGGATCTCGTCACGGGTCGGTCCACGGGGAAAAGCTCCTGTTTTCCCTTGTTCCTCTCCTTCCTAACCGAACCTATCTTGGCATCCTAGAGGGTGATTTGTCCAAGAGATCACCGAATTCTCCTTTTACTCTCTTTCTTGACTRGAAATTTKATRTYWTTATTCAATAATTTCAGCTCCTTAAATAGGAGATTACAAGAGGTAAGAGTCCTCCTTGTAGGAAGACT